ATACACAACAGAGGGAGGAATGCAAAAAAAAAAAAAAAAAAATCAGACAAATTTTTAGTGTCAGGTGAGGAGGGTAATGGTTAAGGCCAAAAATCAAAGGAAAGAAGAGGAAAATTCTATGGTGCAATGTTCAAAGAACAAAAGAAAAAGTAGGGCAATGTTTAGATTCATCTACGAGCAGCTGCGCGTTGCAGATCGTACGGCTGAGGATTAACTGTCTGGCAACCTGGTTGTCATGTAATCCTTGACAACCCTTGCCTTAAAGTCGTTTTTTTTGTTCCCTCTGGCCACCATATTTTTTTAAAAAACAAAAACAAATCACTAAAAAAAACCTAAAAAACTCTGACAATCCTTAAAGCATTGGCATTATCGCAATGAGGGATCGCGTACAGGATCTTAGAAGGTAGAGTTGCCAAATAGAGTAACTCGTGCGACTGATGCCTGCGGACAAAAGAAATCTCCTTTTTGGCTCCGTAAAAAAAGAAAAAGATGTCGATACTGGCAGGATTTGAACCTACGCGGGAAAATCCCATGAGATTTCAAGTCTCACGCCTTAACCCCTCGGCCACAGTATCTATTGACTTCAGATTGAAGATGGTAAATTCAGAATGGAAGGGTTTCTTATAACTACGCGTTCGTTGACGCGAATGTGACGCGTGTGATGTATCCGAAATTGGAATCGCATGTTCTGCGTCAAATTTTTTCTGGTTGCCAAGTGAAAACCGGCAGCCAGTTTGTTCCCTTAGCACAGTGGTTAGTGCGCTCGTCTTACTAACGAGAGATCCTGGGTTCGATCCCCAGAGGGGACAGTGATGACTCTCTTTTTGCATATCTAGCTTTGCATTTTTTTCGGCCCCAGGAAGGGAATCAGTCTAAGTACCGGCCCCATGTGACCCTTTGTAAGGCGCCGGCCTCTCTAAAGTTCCTTTTTATATCACTAAAATACCAGCTCTATTTTGCCGACCTCTATAGACTCGAATTATGGAATGGGAAATGGTGTAGGCTTTGAAACGAATTGGTAGATGATGGAAAAAAAAAGAAGTTCATTTCTGTTGGCTTTCCTCTGGGGCCAGTGCTTGCGTTGTCATAAGCTCTTAGTGAAGAAAAAAAAAGATGCATTACCCAATGTATCCAAATCGTCTATGGGAACAAATATCCTGTATCACCAACAGCTTCAAAGAGAGAGTGCACAACACAAGTAGAGCTAACAGAGATGCGAGATAGGAAGTGCATCAGCCCATCAAGGTTGAAGTATGAAGCAGATCTTTAAATTAAAAGGCCTATCATCCAATGCCATCTCTTTTGGGCGGTTGCATCTGATATTGCGCTCTAATCATTACAGTTTGCGACTTTAATATCATGAGTGAAATGTGTATACAAAGTACAAAAGGTGAAAGTCAGAGTGCAAAATGTACAAGGCTAGCTGTAAAAGTACATAGAAGTGACAGTACAGAAAATGTGATATACATGGCATCGATGATCCTGGTTGACAAGTTGAAGCGATACAAATCATGCTGGCAAAGGCACAATGATCTATTCTTCCACAGTTGCAGGTGTTTCTTCGTTGGGAACGACGGCGGCCGCTCGGCAGATGGGGCATTTGTTTGCACCAGTGGTGAGCCACTAGATGGACAAAAAGTAGAATATGAGATCAAAAGGAGAATCAAAGATGTGAGCTGACAGAACTTTACAAAACTCTTGTCAAAAAACTCCAAACATACTCCAAAAAGAAACATTATTCTTTACCTTATCAATACATTCCTGGTGAAAGCCATGCTTACAGCCCAAAGCACGTAGATCCTCGCCTTCTTCGTACTCGCACATGCAGACCAAGCATTTGGTGGCATCGCCCAACGTGGCAAAGTCACGCATGCCTGGAATCGCACCTTCATATCGACCGACATGGAATCCTGCTCTATTGATCGCCTCCTGTGTGGTCGTTACAGGTCGTGCTGGTCCAATCAAGTTGGCAAACTCCCAAAGTGCGTCATAGTTGAGTCCGCCCTCGCTATCGAGGTTGAGTGAGGCGCCTGCCAGGACGCTGCCGAGGTCTAGAAATTGTTGCATTAAGAAAAAAAAGCGTTAGTAGGAAAACTCAAAACGTTGTACACAGGACGCAATGCAAATCGTGATACAAAAAGGAGACGTGTTTCTTCTCCCTTCAACTTACATGCACTTGACATGGTAACGACAAGCCATTGAGGCCGGCCTCGAGGTCGTGCGTTACTCGATTCGCCGCCTGCATTCGTGGTATCTTGCTGGCCATCTTCAGAGGCAGCGGTGCCTGTAGCGTCTTCACCTTCTTCGCTGCCGCGGTGGCGAGTGAGTGGTCCAAAGGCATTGAGGACGACGATAATAGTTTCACCATGGTCTTCACGCGCGTTAGTGCTTCCCCCTTCGCCATTCTCGCCATTCTCGCCATTCTCTCCTGTTCCGGAAGAGCCACTGCCGAGCGATGAGCCAAGCTGGATCACGCGGAGACTAGGGTGATATTGCCGCCTGGGCCGCGGTGGCGCTGCTGTCTCGGGTACATCGGCGGCAGCGCTTGATGACTGCGAGTCGCTGCTATTCAAAGCGTCCGTCGCTGACGATGACGACGAAGGTCCAGCCAATGTCGTCGATGAAGCAGTACCAGGTGCACTTTCAGATGGTGTCGAGGCAGCATCAGTTTCAGTACCAGAGCCCACGCTGCTGCCAGACCGGTTAGTCGTAGCATTGGCGCGTGATCCTGTCATGTGTGCAAGGATGCGAGAAAACAAAGGGAGCTGGTTCTGCACCAGGCGGAAACGCTCTCGAGCTGCCGCTCGCGAAGCTGCATCTGTGGATGATGTCGCCGAGGTTGATGACGAGGTTGAAGGCGATGAAGACAGAGTCGGCCGTTCTTGTGTTGTTGTACCGAGTGATGATGAGGTGTTATTGCTGGAGGAGGCGCTGCGGGAGGTGCTTCTATCGAGAATAGCCCCCAAATCAGGTCGGAATCCAGAACTTTCTGTGGCCGCCGGTTCAGTAGCACGGCGACGAAGGCCTCCTGTGGATGAGCTGCTCTCAGTAGCCCCCAAGGCTGGTCTGCGTCCAGAAAATGAGGTCGATGAGCCTTCGCCATAGGTATATGCACGTGAACTAGTGTAGGGATGACTGGAGCTCGTGGTGTTACTCTCGCTTTCCAACATGGAGTGTCCTGCAGGGTTCGATGAGTCTCCTCTTGCTGCAAGCTGCGCAGATCGTGATCGCGTCATCGGATATGAGTCTACCGTGGGACGATTCTCGCTTGTTATGCTGCTATTGCTGCTGCTTACACCACCAGGTGTCGTTGTAGGTGCCGTCGCCACGAGCGATGATGATGCAGATGATGCCGAAGAGAGTGGACGACTATCTGATGTTGTGTGTGGTGAGGGGTGCGCAAACTGGCTATGAATGATCTCGGCAATGAGCTCTGAAGGCGGATTCAGATCTCGGCGACGGGGCGCATACCGATGCTGGTGTTGGTCAGCCATCGATACAGCCACCGATGAGGCTGTCTCGGCGTCATCGATGGCCATGGGTTGGTGGTCGATTGTGGGGTCCAGCAGCATGTCCTGTTCTTCGTCATCAGAGTCTGGTCGTATTGGAAGCAGGCTGGACGAGATAGAGGTTCCACCACGGGGATTAGGAAGCCCAAGAGAGAAGCGACTGAAGGTAACTGGTGCCGAGCTTGCATCGGATATGGATGACGTCGTGGACGCAGAGGATGGCTCGGGAATGCCTGTAGCGCCTGTAGTGGAGATGCTGGACGATCCAAAGTTGCTTGTCGAGATGGGTGCAGGTGACATGGCCGCGTGAGATGCCCGTGTATGGTACCGAGTGGTTGGGCGAAGGGTTGTGTTCGAGGACATTCCAGCTGGTTCCATATGTAACATCATATGATCTGTGGAGCTGTTACCAACGTCGCTGCCGCTACTATCTGCCAGAGCAGACGAAGGGGGTTGGAGACGACTAGCTGCTGCGGTAGAAGAGGAGGTGGACGACGACGACCGGGAAGGATGTTGAGGGCATGGGGGGTAAGAGTGGTGCGAGGGGTGAGACCGCTGACCAATCGAGTCTAGATCAACCTCCATCTGACGACGATAGTCCTCTGCATGCTGTTGAGAGGGTGTAGGGCCAGAGGAAGATGCAGAGGCCACGCCTCGAACACTCGACGTGCGGCTGCTGGTCGAGCGGGTGCTTCGAAGGCTGACTTCATCGTGCATTCTCTGATGGACTCGGGTGAGGCCGCGAGGGATACGGCTGTTGGATGGCAAAGATGGTGACGACGGCGACGACGAAGTACTGGCAGTCTGGACAGCAGAACGAAGTACAGTACGATTGTTGTTGTAGAGACTATCGCCGTTGCTGACACTGTTGTTTGTTTGGTTTGGCGCACCACGAGACATGTTGCTATTGTTGCCTCTGTTTGCTCTGTTCGACGACGACGATGCTCCTGAGACAGCCGAAGGACTACTGCCGCCACTACTTGAAGCATTGGAGTTTCGTGAGAGTAGCGGATAGAAAGCAGAGAAGAGGTTGGTTCGGCGACGGCGCTCGGTTGTCGACCTTAGCACCCGCGAAGACGACGATGGGGAAGAGGCATCAGCCCTTGGTGATTCTTGGCCTTGGGGTGATGTAGAGTTGTGGTCATGGTTACTGTTGTTATTGCTGTTGCCATGGACCGCACCGCGCTGACCTGCGGTTGACATTGTGTTGGGGTGATTGTGCTCTTGGTTATGGGAGTTACTGTGGTGGTGAGGATGCGACTGTCGCTGTGAATGGGTATGAATGTGATGTGAAATTGTGGAGAGGGGGGGTGAGGAAGGTAATGGAGGTGAAGAAGAGGAAGAAATGCCTGGCAATGTTCTATTTGAAATACTACTTTGGCGAGAGGGAACGGTTGGCGGCGATAGCGACAACGACGATGTCGAAGCGCCCAGAGGACTGCTTTGTGTTGGGCCAGCTCCTCCTGTTGCTGCTGCTGCTACTACTGTTGCTGTTCCTCTTCCTCCTTGAATACTCGTGCGACCAGTGTGGTGGCCCACCAAGTTGGTCCCGTTTCCATGCGGAGTCAACAATGCATTAAAATGCAGCTGAACAGGTTGAGGCATGTTGCGGGGCGACGGAGTCGTCAGGTTGTGCTGATGAGCATGCATGTGAGCTTGAGCATGAGTTTGAGCATTTGCATTTGCATTATTGCTGCTGCCAGTAGAAGAGGGAGAGGCAAAAGGGGCGCCTGCGGTGGTGGTTGTTCGAGGTTGAGCACCATAAGCATTGCTCCCACCCTGCTGTTGCGCACTGGAGGTGCGACGGCGGTTGCGGGAGGGCGTGGAGCTCGTCTGGCCCATGGTTGGGGGGAGGGCAAAAAAATATCACGAGGAGGATGAATGAGGGCAGCGACGAAAAGTGTCTGTTGCTGGCTACTTCGTTTCAAGCTGATTGTCGATGGTGGAGAGGAGGGAAGAAAATGAAGAATGTAATGGGCTTGTGAATGTTTTGTCACGAGGAAGAGGAGTGGAAGGAGTGGAGGTGGAGAAGCGAGAGGGAGGAGGAACACGATGATGGATGGACTGAAAGGAGAGGGGAGGGGAGAGACAACTGAATGGGCACAAAATATCCATGATTGACGATATCAGCATCAGCTAGTTTTAAAGTAACATTCTTTCACATCATCCATACCCACATGTCATACGGTCTTTTTTTCCTTTGCTTCCTTATTGGATTTCCGTCTACTCAGCTTGATGTCATGGAAAGCAAACGAGGCATCATTCGATAAGCATTTGCCTGGACCTGGCTCTATGGTGGG